TGGAATATTTACTGAAGAGGATTATATTATTATGGTACTGCTTATTAAGTTAGTGTACCTTTAAGATCTGGATCATTCATTTAAATAGACTTAATTGGTATTGTACTTTCTAAACTAATATCTAAAAGTTTTTTTGCCTGCTATGTGGATTCAAAACATGCTAATTTAACTTACTGCATTAGATATGATATCTGATTTTTTTCATGTTATGGAATATTTACCATAGATGAGCACATTACTATGCTATTAAAAATTTGGTCACTGTATCTTTCAGACTGACTGTTTAGTCGAACAGACTTTGTTTATATAGTACTTTCTAATTAATTATTGTTATTTAACCTATTGCATGGGTATATGTATGCAGTTTAGCTTGCTGTACTAAACAGGATTTTTAACCCCCCTTTTTTTTAATTCTTTATTTTGTTGTGCAATTGCACAGGTGATGGAGATCCCATGTATGGGAGCTGGTGGGCTCGTCAGTTGGATCTCGTCTCGGTGGGAGCCCCAGCGCCATGAGGATGGAGTCTGCTTCCTGGGTGGAGGTGAGATGCAGAGTAGTGCCGATGTGATCCACAGACAAGTTTTAGGGTGTTGTCCAACGGTAGATTACCTTGGCGTCTTGAAGGCGACGGGTCACTGGGCGTAGATTTCATCTCCATTGAAGTGTGGATCGTGTAAAGTCTTGATAAAAGGTAAGACTTGCGCATTCAAAGTCCAGTGGTGTTTTGCACTTTAGCGCATGGCATTTCTGTCCGCTTGTGTGGCACCTGACGATTACATCCATGGTTGCTTGGGGGGGTGCCTGTGGTAATTTGCGAATGCGAAACATCTCTGCGATGGCCAGTTTTTTCGCCTGTGCGTGTGGCAATATGGTGGCTATCAGTCGCCAGAGGTAATGCGGCAACTCTGACTGGCTGATGTTGTTGGGGATTCCCCTGATTTTCACATTGCATTTGCGACTCCTCTCTTCTGTCGCCTCTAGTTTGCTAAGCAGAGTTGAGTGAGAGGATTTTAATTGTGATACTGTTTCTTTAAAGGCCTTTTATTTCTTTTTGTATGTCGATTAGATCTTCCTCTGTGGATTTCACGCGGTCCAGTTAATGTCCAGTTTGGTGGCTGGTGTTAGCGCATCTGGGTCGGCCTGTACGTCATGGGGTGGCCGTTGGTCTAGTGCAGTGATGGCGAACCTTTTTGAGCCCGAGTGCCCAAACCGCAATACATGCCAACTTTTTTTCTCCTTAAAGTGCCAACACGGCAATTAAACCCAAATACTGAGGTTTAAGTTTAGAAAAAACAACTCGTACTGTTGTCACAGAGAGTTCAATGATACAAATTTTAAATAATGATATAAATAGATAAAATTAAGCTTATATTTATTAGTATCTCCAACAAATGCAATACATACACACACAGACTGCTGAATACATACACACAGTCTGCTGAATACACACACACACAAGACTGCTGAATACAGAGACAAATACACACACACACACAGTCTGCTGAGTACACACACACACACAGTCTGCTGAGTACACACACACACACAGACTGCTGAGTACACACACACACACACAGACTGCTGAGTACACACACACACAGACTGCTGAGTACACACACACAGTCCGCTGAATACACGCAAACACACACAGACTGCTGAATACACGCACACACACACAGACTGCTGAATACACGCACACACACTGCTGAATACACACATACGGCATTGAGGTGGGGGGTGCTGTGTGTGGGGGGGTGCGTGTGTGTGTTGTATGTGAGGGGTGCTGTGTGTGTGGGGTGCTGTGTGTGTGGGGTGCTGTGTGTGTGGGGTGCTGTGTGTGTGTGGGGGGGTGCTGTGTGTGTGTGCTGTGTGTGTGTGTAAGGGTGCTGCGGGGGGGTAGGGGTACTGCTGTGTGGGGGTAGAGGCAATTGCTGTGGGGGTAGGGTACTGTGTGGGGGGGGGGGGTAGGGCACTGTGTGTGGGGGGGAAGGGGCACCTGTGTGTGGGGAAGGGGTACTGCTGGGAGGCTAGGGGTACTCTGCTGGGAGGCTAGGGGCACTGCTGGGGGTAGGGCACTGTGTGTGGGGGTAGGGGTACCAAAGGAGGTAGGGGTACCTCGCTAGGGAGGTAGGGTACTGTGTGTGTAGTAGGGCACTGTGTGTGGGTAGGGGTACTGCTGTGGGGTAGGTAGGGGTACCAAGCTGTGGGGGTAGTACCGCTGGGGAGGGCTACCTGGGGGTGGCAGTGTGCTGGTAACAGCATACCTCCCCTTCACCTTTTACCTAGGGGGTAGGGCACTTCGCTGTGGGGGTAGAGGGTACTCGCTGGGGGTGTGTAGGGTACCGCTGGGGGGGGCAGGGCACTGCTGGGTAGGGGTACTGCTGGGAAGAGTAGGGCACTGGCTGTGGGGGGGTAGGGCAACCGCTGGGGGATAGGGTACTGCTGTGGGGGGTAAGTGGCACTGCTGTGGGGGTATGGGTACTGCTGTGGGGGTAAGGGTACTGCTGGGAAGTGGGCACTGTGGCTGTGGGGGTAGGGTACCGCTTGGGGGGGTAGGGCACTGCTGGTGGGGGCAGAGCACTGCTGTGGGGGGGTACTGCTGGGGAGGGCTACTTCTGGGGGGGTAAGGGTGCTGTGTGTCAGTATACCCCCCCTCCCTCCTTCTTACCTTTAATGAAGTGGGGGACACACACACAGCCATCCCTGGTGGTCCGGTGGTGGTAAGCACTGCAGGGGGAGGGATCTGTGATGCAGCTCCCCTGTCCATGACAACGCTCCACACAGTATCGCGCGGGAGGACAGGGGAGCTGCCTCCTAGAGCCCTCCCCCTGCCTCCCGACCCGGAAGCAGAGTAGGCGCCTGCCGTTTCGGGCAGGCAGGTGCCTACTCTGCAGTGATGGCGAACCTGTGGCCGCGTGCCCACAGAAAGGGCCCGGCGTGCCACCTGTGGCACGCGTGCCATAGGTTCGCCATCACTGGTCTAGTGTATCCCCCTCAGCATGAGCCGAGCATGTGGAGTTAGTCTCTGGGTCAGGCGTGGTCGCCATCTTTGGGCCAGCCGGGCGCTGGAGCATGGTGATAATGTCATGGGTGTCTTTACACGCACCTGCTGCTGTCCGCTTGGATTTTCTTCCCATGGTGTCTGGATCGGTGTGTTTGTTCTCTGCTGGCTGTGCGGTTATGGAGTATGCTGCGCTGTATAGCGCCGTTTCAAGGGCCCTGTAATCTGGGTAGGCCTTGGCTTTACGGTGAACTTTCCAACCCGTCTGGTGGAACGTAAAGGGCATCAGTCGGGTGTCTGCTTTGCTCTCCCGGTCTGCCCGTAGGGTTCCAGAGGTACGTGGGCTCTTTTAGTTTAATTTGCTTGCTGTGTTTGTCTCGTTTTGGCCAGAGCTCTCCGTGTGCACGACCGCTTGGTTCCATGGCTAAGCTCCGCCCCGATCATTCAATTTTTAAACTCTAAGTCATCGATATTTAACCCTTTTTATGTTATAGAATATCAACTAGAGATGAGAGTATTACTATGTGATTGTATAATATCACTGCATCTTTAAATGCTGACCCTATACTTGAGTAGATTCCATGTCTTGTTTCTAAATGTCACGGATACATATGTTTTAACATGTATTGTAATCTTTAATTAACTTAATTGGTTGTGGGGTTATTTAAACACTGCTGTTATGCTGTATCCCTTATGCATGATTAAGGCTTTTAGTAGCCAACGTGTCGCACTTACGGTATTTTGGTGAGGTGGTGAACGAATAAATTTACCTTCTATAGCCTGAAGTGCTGCCTGTGTTTTTCTTCTTTGATACTATATCTACACAGATGCACACACTCACCAAACATCCACTCAACATTTTAATAAATATTCACTTTACATAACATTAAAAAGACAAATATGGGAAGCAAGAATTTCCTGGTAACAACCCTAATGAAATTGGCAGACCACGCTATTCATGAGCAAAGAAAAATCTTCATTGTATCTCTTCATTCAGCTACACTCACCGGGCTTGCTACACATAGCACTAAACTGTGGTGGGTGTAAAACATAAATACAAAATAACAAAACAGCCAAGCTGTCACAGCAACGTTCTGCAACAGTTTTACAATTTAGTCATTTTGGTCAAAGTATTGCATTTCAGTTTTACATTCTCTACAATTTTGTGTTTATTGCACTAATCTTTTTCATCGTTTATAGTTGAGATTGTGTCATATTTTTGTAGTCCCAAAATTGTAGTCAAAGAGGATTCAAGATCTTAAAGGACCACTATAGTGCCAGGAAAACATACTCGTTTTCCTGGCACTATAGTGCCCTGGGGGTGCCCCCTCCCGCCGGGCTCTAGGGTGAGGAAGGGGTTAAACTTATCTCTTTCTCCAGCGCCGGGCAGGGAGCTTTCCTCCTCCTCTCCGCCTCCTCTCCTCCTAATCGGCTGAATGCGCATGCGCGGCAAGATCTGCGCACGCATTCAGCCAGTCTCATAGGAAAGCATTCTCAATGCTTTCCTATGGACGCTGGCGTCTTCTCACTGTGAAAATCACAGTGAGAAGCACGCAAGCACCTCTAGCAGCTGTCAATGAGACAGCCACTAGAGGCTGGATTAACCCTAAAATAAACATAGCAGTTTCTCTGAAACTGCTATGTTTATAGAAAAAAGGGTTAATCCTAGCTGGACCTGGCACCCAGACCACGTCATTAAGCTGAAGTGGTCTGGGTGCCTATAGTGGCCCTTTAATTAATCAAAATAATTGACTTGCATAGTTCACTTTAAAATATAGCAAATACATATTGACAATGTAATATTCAATGTTTATTTAAAAAGTTGCTTACATTAAATTTGTTCTATTTTTGCTTTCTTGACAAACATCTCTTTCTCCTTCTTCAGGCAAAGCCAGATCTGTCAATGCAAAGAACTGTGCTAAGCAAATAATTTCTCCAATATATGGGGAGCCTGGAGGAGTGTTCATTTCATTGTAAGTGGGTGTTGGTTTGGAAACCATTGGAACCAGCCTGAACGGTAGCAGAATGAAAAAAGGTTTACACGAGTAAGAAGTGGATTTATAAAGCTATATAAGGTAAGCAAATCAAAGCAATCCATTATCTAACATTGTTATTAAATTGATATTAGGATCCAGATTTGTGATGAAGATAAGATATTATTTGATCAAACTGAGAGGCATAAACATAGGATTTAGTTAAAGTACTTATTGGCTGTGATTTGCAATTTCAGTTTACCAAACCTCTCAATATCTATTTGTTTCTAATATGAACACCAGTTAAGTGCTGCAGTAATTTTTGTTACTTGTGTTTATTTTACAGAGAGGTTTTTGGGATATTTAACAAAATCAGGTGTTTATATTTCTAATCACTTTGATCAATTTGAGCCACCTGACCTCATCCCTTGGGTGTGTGTAAATATATACAGAAACAAAAATCATTGCAGGAAGAGTTTAGATAGACTGCAGATGTAGTAAATATTTATATGGTTTGAATAAATGTATGTTGCATTTCCATATTGTAACAGTTGTTTTAAATGTATGTAAAACATACTTTGGTACTTACACAAGAACCAACAATACTCCACCTACTGTGTATGTAAATGGGATTTGCTTTTGAGTGGGTAGAGCAGTTACCACACAGGTGTTTTGAGTAACCTGGTAAATTTTTGGGTTGCACACTTACAGTAAAACATATGTTAACAGATTAAAGGGACATTCCACTGCCAAAATAAACAAAAACACTCTTTAGTAGATATACCCAAATTGAAACCATGCATGCATTTATTTATGCATTTTTTCATAGAGTGTGTATCTTAAAACAATTAGCAAACCTGCAGATATCATGTCTTGCCGCACATGTGCTGAAGGTCCCCCCCAACAAAGTGAAGGGACCTCTGCACTGGTATCAGGTAAATGTAAAAATGTTTTTGAAACCATTATTTGCAGCCAGAGGGGCAGTATAGTGTTAGGAACCTTGTTGGCTTCCTCATCCGATGAGGTGTGGTGAAGACCCCCAGTGCCGGGGATATAACCCAGCGAGTCTAGGGATGGATTCTCCGTAGGAGAGGAGTCCCCTTTTGGAGAAGCCTCTGTTTTGGTGCAGCCAAATCAGATTTTCATTGCTTATACATATATTATATTTTATTTATTTTTTCATTTTTTTTATTAAAACAATTTTACAGTTGGTCTTGATACTCTAGCTACACATGGCTTCCTTAAGTACTTTATGGGTAAGAAGTATCCCATAATAATCTAATAATCCGAGTTTATAAAATTGCTGTCTTATAAATAACCTCAGATCAGCATGTGGCTTGTGCTCTTTTGTGGGAACAGGAGGGGGGGACTTGCAAAGGCTGCAATTCTTAAGAACTGCAGCTTTTCTAAACTGTTTTCACATATACCCCCAATAAATACATGGATGTTTTCACCGGGGAGTATCTACTTAACAGTGATTTCTGACAGCTCCCTACCTATAGTGTGAGTTACTGCGCAGGTTATTTCCTGTAATGTTTTTAGTTGTGCAGTATGGTCATTATAGTCTGTGCTATTATGCTAAACACAGGAGACCCTGCTCTCTGTGGCTGATGTTGATCCAGAAGAAGGTTAAACACCACACCTTGAAGTGCAGTCTATTGTTTCTTCAAAGAAAGGCAGGCGAGGATAACCTGCCCTATCCCATAATGAATGGCTTTTACTTTTTATTTATTTATTTATTTATTTATTTATTTTTTTTACTGATCACATAAGCACAGGCCCAAGGGTGTGCACATCTCAATCAGGGCTTTATTGTCTGCATGGTCTCCCATTTAGCTGTCTGCCTGCCCTTATCTGCTAGTTTGAAATCGATCATTATCTGGCTAAAGAGTAACATTTATATTGATCTGTTAATGAGTGTTCTTACTAGATCGAAATGTAGTCTTAATTGTTTAAGTTTGTATTGTAACAGTCCAGTTAGTAATTAAATAGGTTCAGCTTATTTATTGAATAGAAATATCCTGTTAGATGGTGGTTTTTTGTTTTTTTTCTGTATTCTCAGACTCTGCAAGTCCTGTTAACACAAAGAGTTCTGGAGTCTGTGTGATGCAGATTGACCATATGCCACAATGCAAATGAGCTATTTAGAGAGATTGTCCAGGATTGTTTTCTGTGTTACTTTGTTCTTGAAGGAATGTTGGTAGTCACTCCTGGTAAAATTTATCACTGTTCCCAGTTTGCTCACACTGATACTGGGGATGTATCTAGTAAACATTTAAAAAAAAAAAAATTTATTTAAAAAAAAATTTGGGTAGTTGAGTGTACTTTAACCCCTTAAGGACACATGCCATGTGACATGTCATGATTCCCTTTTATTCCAGAAGCTTGGTCCTTAAGGGGTTAAAGTACAACACAATTTTTTTTTTTTTTACATTCTTTATTTTTTTTTTTTTTTCTAAACAGGAATAAACGGTGGGGACCGCCACTCTCTTGGTTATACAATGGTCCACAGTGAATGCAACATACATCTGAGTGTAACATTATTGGTACATCCGATCATAAACCACATCGCTGAACCGTATTTCTATGTCCCTTAGACCCTTAACTGCATCATCTATTTTTATTTTTGCCATTGAGGTTTGTGGTACCCTGAGGTTTCTCATGCATCGCCTACAGGTGTTAGGGGCCTGTGGATCACGCACTCCATTTAAACAAAGAATCCCATTTCTTTTCAATACTTGTTGAAAAGGTTATGTTATCAAAAATGGTTTTGAAGTGGCAGTTATCATTTAAATCATAACATTTAAACTTAAAGGCTCATTCTTGCTGGTTGTTATAATCTTTGATAACGAGAAAGATTTCATATTTAGAATAATAACTTTTCCGATTCTTTTAAACACACACAGATAACGATGAGATTATTCCAAGGTGACCTATCTCCAGCTAAATAGGTTAACCCCTTTATACGGATGTTCAGTGGTTGTACATAGACTTGCAGAATGACAGTAGGACTAGGGTCTTCCATGAACTTTGTTTATTTTATAACATTCTTACTTTGAAAAAGTGCATGTTATCTCTGCAGACACAATATGAGATATTGGGGAATGTGGGGATATGTAGCATTCGATATAGGGGGCTGCGTGTCAGTGGATATAGTGGGCAGTGGGGGCTTTGTAGCATTTGATATGGGGGCTGCGTGTCAGTGGATATAGTGGGCAGTGGAGGATATGTAGCATTCAATATGGGGGCTGCGTGTCAGTGGATATAGTGGGCAGTGGAGGATATGTAGCATTAGATAAGGGGGCTGCGTGTCAGTGGATATAGTGGGCAGTGGGGGCTTTGTAGCATTTGATATAGGGGCTGCGTGTCAGTGGATATAGTGGGCAGTGGGGGATATGTGGCATTGGATATAGGGGGGCTGTGTGTCAGTGGATATAGTGGGCAGTGGGGGATATGTGGCATTGGATATAGGGGGCTATGGGTGGGATATGAGTAGCAGAGGGATGTGGGGGATATGTGGCGTTGGATATAGGGGGCTATGGGGGATATGTAGCATTCGATATAGGGGGCTGTGTGTCAGTGGATATAGTGGGCAGTGGGGGATATGTGGCATTGGATATAGGGGGCTATGGGTGGGATATGAGTAGCAGAGGGATGTGGGGGATATGTGGCGTTGGATATAGGGGGATGTTAGCGACATATAGTACTGAATAAAGAAGGTGATGTGGCAGTGGATATGAAGGTTTTGTGGGGGACATGTGGCAGTGGATATGTAGGTTTGTGGGGGTTGTGAGTAATAGTGGACTGAGTGGTAAATTAGGCATTGGATACGGAGTAGCTTTGAGGGATTTTTCAGGGCTATTTTGCACACACACATACATACAGACAGGCACACACACATGCACACATACATACGTACAGACATACAAAGACACATACATACAAAGACACATACATATACACATACAGACAAACACACATACAAAGACACATACATACAGACACACACAAACAACAAACACATACATACAAAGACACACACATACAGACACACATATATACAAAGACACATACACATACCTACAGAGACACACACGAAACATACATACAAAGACACACAAGACATACATAAAGACATACATACACACACAATATTTTAGTCACACTCCTGTTTCCTACCTTTTAGGTGCAGGAGGGTGACATTCCCTGGGGTCCAGTTGTGGCTCAGGTTGATGGGAGTCAGAGTTCCCACTCTGACTCCCTCCTTCTTTCTCCTGCGCGGTCTGTGTGTTAGCTGGGAGGAGTGACGTGCGGTCACTTCCTCCCAGCTCTGTGTGATGTAATCACAGGGGCCCGGTCACGCTGTTAAAGCGCCCAGCGTTGACCGGGCCCCCTTACAACCCATATCCATCGGGTGGCCCTGACAGCATGGGCCTACCCGATGGACCCCTTGGACGGTTTGCCGTGCCACAAATGGTGATGGTGCCCGGTTGCAGGGGACTGCTGGGCAGCCGGGCCCCCTGGAGTGACAGGCCCAGTCGCAACTGCGACCGCGGTATGTACGCCGCTGCCCTCTCTACATTAGTTCCGCCACTGGACCCTGGTAAGGGAGATTATTCTGTGCCAGCACGGCCGGACTGGGACAAAAATTTGGCCTGGACATTTAAAGGCATACTTGCCCAATAGGATGGGTGGAGCCATAGAGGGCACAAGTCCTGCTTAAGACCTCTTGCATGAGGAAAAATGCCTGTGTTTGTTAGCACAGCACAAGCTAATGTTATAAAATTTATAGACTGCTTATGAGGTTGTGGGGGGTAAATTATGTGTGGTGTTATGTGTGCAAAGGGAAGCTGCTTGTGTGGATGCAAATATGAGAGAACACATTGTTCTAATAAAGCTTGGTTGTATAGAATGCAAAACATTTCAGATGTGACAATGTCACTTTAATATTTTAGTCTCAACATACAAAAGATGTAAATAATTCATCAATTTGAAAGAACTGAACAGGTCTATTAAAATAAACTTGTAAAATATTGTTGTGGCTTTTCTTTATGGTGAAATGACAAAGCCCAAAAAAACATTGGTGGTTTGTTGCTGCGTATTTTATGTCATGTTACATCTTTTATACAAAGATTATATTAAAAGACGTATTATTATGCATTAATAACTGATCATATTTTGTACTTTCAAAATGCAGAATTCCATTTTGGATGACAAATTTTTACTTAATAACTGCGCGTTTCTTGAAATGGGGAGGAGGATGCACCGCAAGCTATTCTGTTTCCTTATTCTTTGTTGTCTCTATGGATTATTTTTCAATACTCAATGGATAAAAGATCTTTTCAAAGGTACGTAATGTCTAAACTGGTGTGTCTAATAGTAATATTTTACTTTATAAATCTCAACATTCACATTTCTCCAAATAGTATCAAGAATAAAATAGCCTATTTACAATATTACAATTTTAAAAATAACAGAAGAACGATAAAGTCACTCATTGTGGTAAAATATATACTATTGCGTTGCATACATTGCAATAATTCACCTCTGTTAGAAAATAAGTGGGGCGAAAAACATAATGCCAAAACTTAGTAAAAGGACCTTATTCAGTTCCAAGTCAAAAATTTATGTTAAAACAGTCCACAGGGGAAGGATTCTAGTGCTTGTTTACAGTTTGATTTAGGCAGCTTGAACATCCCAAAAAGGAGTTGTAGCGGGACATGTTCCTTGTGTCCTGTTCCCAGGAGACAACACTCAGCCCTGGAGGCTCTCAGTCCTTACCAGGACTTTTCCCCTAATTTCATCTCCCTGCAAGCTGGAACAGCAGACACAGGGGTTATTCTGGAACGGCTGCAAAGGCTATTAATGTGTTTTTTCAGGAGCACATGGCGCTCATTGCCCTGATGAGATTATCCATACCAAATCACCCTCCCAGATAGTTTACTCAGTCACAACTCACATGTAAGAAGATCTGGCGATGTTTATTCGTCGTATGATCTGTAGAATGTGCAGTTACAACAGGTAAAAGAACGATTCTTCCATACAGGTTAGGAGCGATACAAGTCACATATGAATGTACAGCATAGAAAACATTAGAACAGAAAAGGGGGAGGGGAGTACCTGAAGCAGCATGCAAACTATAGAGTGGCCCAAGAGACAAACTTAAGATGAACATTAAAGAAACAGTACATTATAATAAAACAATATCATGTAACATGACAGGGGTTAAAATCTTCCTCCCCTCCAGTAAAAGTTTAGAGGTTTAAACACTGCCATCTTACCAGGCTGAGTCACACTCTTTATTGATTACAGGCTTCTTTTATGCACAGACCCCCACAGGGGGTCTCCATTCTACACAATACACTTCCAGTAATCCCAGGCAGGGGGCGGGGGGGGGGGTTGGGTTACAGATAGCCATCTCCCGCCTTAGGAGATACCAAGTAGTACACAGGGATACACTTTACATCATATTAAATTCAGGGGGGTTACACTTTGGGGTCCAGCGCCCCTGGAAGGGAAGGGGTTACAGGGTTAAAACTTACATGGTTAGATAGCCCCGTGTCCCATCTGGGATCCCTGCAAATAGTGGGGCGATCAGATGTACAGAGCCAGAGATATCCGTGTCGAAAGTCTGGGGCTCAAATTGGTCCAAAATTAGTTCCATGGTGTTGCTTGGTTTAGTCCGGTGAATTCAAACTTCGCGCCTAAACCAAGCAACAGCCAATCAGCTGAAAGGGCGTGAATCAAATCGGGCCAATCAGCGTTCAGGGGAGGAAGGAGTTTCGCCTCCCAATCCAAAGGAAGGGTACGAAACTCTGCTGCACCAATCGGTGCTCGGGGAGTAGGGGGGTTTCGCCACCCAATCAGGGGAAAGGGCGCAAAACCCGATTGCACCAATCCGCTAAAAGGCACGAAACTAATTTGCGCCAATCAGCGCCCAAAGACAAAGGGGGGATTTGCCGCCCAATCAGACGAAAGGGCGCGAAACCCTGTTTAAACAAGCGCTCCTGGCGGCGACCAATCAGCACTTTACTTGTGCCGACCAGCCAGGAGAATGGCGCGAACCCAGTTTGAATGGGCGCTCCTTCTCCCAGACTTCCACGCAGCCAGCGGGAACTCTGCAGCCGTGAGACCGACTAACAGCTGCAGAGACTCCCTGCTGGCGTGCTCCCCTCTCTCCGGCGGATACCCACACTTAGGCATCCACCAGAGAGAGCGTTCTCCTGGGTAGCCACGAGCCTAGCCTCGTAGCTCCCAGATAGGGGACAGGGCAAGTGATTACAGCTCCTCTGGGAGCAGGTAGAGCGGTCCCAGACAAGGGGACCGAAGACAGGTTGAGCAGGCTGGTTCGGCATATGAATGCTGCCCCCCATGGCATTCGGCTATACGAACCGGTGGCCACCCAGGGGCAGCACACGACGCTTGTTACCTTGCGGTCTGCGGTTTTGCACCTCTTTAGCGAGGTGTGAACATTCTAACCACACATTATAACTGGAATAGTGGGGTGGTCCGGTGCACAGTGTACCGTGCGTCGGAGCGCCCCTCTGTGGCTGAAAAGTGAAATACACCATGCATTGCCAAATAAAAAGGGAAACACATATTTAACAAGGGAAAATCATCACAGTACATATTGGGGACAGTGGCATACATACCAGAGTCGCAGGGGTCGCGGTTGCGACCAGGCTGGCCCTGCTATCACCCGTAAGGCGGGTGGCCGGTCGGGCGGGCAGGCAGACGGGCGCGTGAGGGAGCACTCAGTGCTTCCTCTTCAGCTCCCTCGCGCACCGAGTGTTAGTGTGTGTGTTAGTGTGAGGGTTAGAGTGTGTGTGAGTGTTAGTGTGTGTGTGTCTGCTAGTGAGTGTTAGTGTGAGTGTTAGTGTGTCTGCTAGTGAGTGTTAGTGTGAGTGTTAGAGTGAGAGTGTGTGTGTCTGCTAGTTAGTGTGAGTGTTAGAGTGAGTGTTAGTGTGTGTCTGCTAGTGAGTGTCAGTGAGTGTGCTACTGTGTGTGTCTTACTGAGTGTGTGTGTGTTAGTGAGTCTGTTTGATGCCTGTTAGTGAGTGTGTGTTTGTCAATGAGAGTGTATGTTTTGTAAGTGAGTGTGTATGTATGTCTGTCGCTGACTGTGTCTCTGTCAGTAAATGTGTGTCTGTTAGCTAGTGTGTATGCGTCTGTAAGTGTGTGTGTGTGTGTGTGTGTGTGTCTTCAGCACTTACCTTTCTCAGCCGGACCCCTGGCTGGAGGATCCCTCAGCCTCTCAGCTCGAATGCCATTGCGATTCAAACGCCCATAGGAAAGCATTACTCAATGCTCCTATGGACGCTTCAGTGCTGCTCCTCTAGCGGCTGTCAAAGGACCACTATAGTGCCAGAAAACATACTCGTTTTCCTGGCACTATAGTGCCTTGAGGGTGCCCCCACCCTCAGGGACCCCCTCCCGCCCGGCTCTGGAAAGGGGGTAAAACTTACCTTTTTCCAGCGCTGGGCGGAGAGCTCTCCTCCTCCGATCCTCCTCTTCTCCTCCCCGTCGGCTGTATGCGCACGCGCGGCAAGAGCTGCGCGCGCATTCAGCCGGTCACATAGGAAAGCATTCATAATGCTTTCCTATGGACGCTGGCGTGGTCTCACTGTGAAAATCACAGTGAGAGGACAGCCGCTAGAGGAAATAGGGGAAGGCTTAACCCATTCAGAAACATAGCAGTTTCTCTGAAACTGCTATGTTTATAAAAAAAATGGGTTAACCCTAGCTGGACCTGGCACCCAGACCACTTCATTAAGCTGATGTGGTCTGGGTGCCTAGAGTGGTCCTTTTAAGTGTGTGTGCATCTGCATTCACTGGCATACATACCGCGGTCGCAGCCCTGTAACCTCTGCGACCAAGTGCCCACCGTCATGTGTTGCGGCCCGGCCCGCGCGCGGGGGGGGAGGGGGGCCCACGGATCAATTTTCGCACCGGGGCCCCATGGGTCATGTGTACGCCACTGATTGGGGACACAAAATATAAAACCAAACCTCTAAATACTCAGTGGACATGGCACTTAGTGGCGATGTCCCTCCACAGGAGTCTCTTATTTCTGGTCCTAGATGCATACTAGTAGAAAAAAAGGGGGAAGCAACGCCTTAGGGAGTGTCCTCCAGTCCAAATTCAGACAGGCAAATATATAATAGATAAAGTGCAAAATATAGTGTAGTATGTTGAAGTTCTGGACAAATAAACAAAAAGCAATGTAATGATTAGCTTTCTCAATATAATTTTTTTTTTTTGTATTTAATAAAAAATTTATTTTATTAGAGTTCCACACATAGTAATTAGCTGTCCCAATATATGTAATGTGTAAACAATTAAAGAATACACTAAGGATAGCTCCACAAACAAAATTATAGAAAAGTAGTGTGAAAAGAAAATATTAGTAATGGAGACACTGTAAATTTAGTGCCACTATGCAAATTATGGCTCGTTGTACGCTGATGACGGTCAACAGGCTAAGCTGCTCATCAATGGGTTATATACCTCTAGGCATAAACCCAAACACTCAGAGCCATGCTAGAGAAATTTAAACAAGCATGAAAAATAAAGAAAAAGGAAATTGAAGAAAAGGAAAAATAACAGAAGCAACAACAGCATTTTGAGACTGTCCAGGATGCTTGTATACGAGCAAAGTCTGGGAGAGTGTCATTGGATCGAATTGCTCTGTGGGACCCCTCTCTCTGGCGCCTTCTTCTTGTGTGATCTGTCCACTCGGTTTGTTTCCTCCAATATGGTAGTGGCCGGTAGGCCCAGTTTGTGAAAGTGTATCTCTGGGTTATCGGAGGAGGACAAGGTGAGTATTTCATTGCTGTGTGTGACAGCAAAGGAGCCCTCTGCATTCTAGTGATATTTGGCAGTTATCTCGAAGTTTGCTAGCAACTTGGGCCAGCTGTCAGTAAGGACAGAAAAGGGAAGATCACTATAGATGGATACTGTGTGACCCTTAAAATGCACTTGTCCCATTTTGGATCTGTTCATTATAGCAGTTCACACCTCAATGGCTCAGGCAATAATGTCCCTAGGTGCGTCTACTGATTTGCTTACTGAAAAAGAGACCAGGATGGACGGGGCGTCTGTATCATTTTGAATGTCCAGAGAGGCAATCAGTCTTTTAATGAACGACAATACATCCCCTCCACCTACCTGTTCGGGTATGCTTTGTAGGCGTATATTTTGATGCCAGTGTTGAGACTCCAGCATGAGCACCATCTTATATAGTGAGATCCTAAATATGCTGCTTGATGTTCTGGAGTTAAGTGCCACATGTCTGTTCCCTTTCCTCCACAGCTTTCACTTTTTGCTGCAGGACACTTATTTCTGCTTGTGTCTCTTGGAGGTCTGACTCCCACACCTTTCTCAGATCTACCAGCAATCTTTTGATGTCACCTTTCGCGGATGGAGACGGATCCTGTTCCGATTTTCTCACCATCTCTATGATGTACTCCAGCTGGGTGAGGTGCATGAATTTTCCTCCTCAGGTGAATCATCTGAGGTGTCATGATCCCTCTGGGGTTGGTTCACGCATTCTTCTATTCACATCCCTCCATATAAAGAGGTGTTCGGTGGTTCTTTCGTCCACTTGGATGTACGTTTGGTCAGGGGCGTCATTCGAACCAGGTGTTTTACTAATCCTTTGTTTGTCCATACGAATGGCGGAACTGATTTATCAGGCTGACTTTGTACGTTGTTCGTATGCCAGTTCTTTATACGAATGGTGGAAATGACGTATCTGGCTAATCCCGTACATCACCTTTGGTTCATTCGTTTAGTGAAAGTGAAAACTACAATGTCCATGAGTCCTTGCACTCAATAGCGCCGTATTTCAAAAGTCCTAATAAGCCATATATGGGACAGGGGGGAGACAAAGGGAGACCAGTATTAAAAAAGAGAAGGTTTGTGAAACAACAAATTATAAAATGATGATGTGCCCCAAAATAAGGATATTATATTTGACCGTTACATTTCGATATAACCACATACAGAATATATGTATAAATAACCAAGGAAATGCAATAAGAATTTTAACAGATGGCAACATATTGTTCTATATGCTGAATAGTGTTGCCAATCTGATGAGAGATTTGTTCTCAAACGAAGAGCTATTTGAATGGGTAAAAAGGTGAAGATAAAAAATTGTAACTACTAAAAAATTAAGATTAAATATATAAAGTTTAAAAAGGAATAAAAATGTAGTATGGTTGTAATTTCCATATACAATTTAATCTAAAAAAGTGGGTAATTATATAAAATTGGAAATTATAAAGGCACCGAAAGTCAGCACTTTCAGAGCCATAACGTCAAAAATACTCTTTAATTGTGAGCATTCCCTTTTTAAAACAAATTTTCTAATTTTGTGGATTGTAACAATATTATACTATTCTATTTCTCCCATTCTTTTCCCAGCATGTGTATAAAACATTTTTTTTAAACGCATGGGTAAGCTCTGAATCTTTTTAGTGCTGCACTTTACACTGTTTGTGTCAGGAAGGGGTAATATCACATAAACCCTGTCTAAGCACATTGGTTTTTTTTGTTTACTGTTTGATTTCTGGGTCAATAGGAGAACCCATAGAGTGCTACAGCTGCTATTGCCAATACAATCTATTCATATCATTATTAAGCATCCGAGCTCCACACTTAGAAAACATCAATCTTTGGTAATCCCATGAGCAAAGGGATCGGCTGCCTCCCTTCTGCCTGCATGTAGTAGGCCGCAGCTCTGACTGCATCTGTAGGTGCCCAAACCTGTACCTCTTTTGCAGATGGGGGTGGTCTCTGGTAGGCTGGAGTTCCCAGAACTATTGTATGTGGTTCAGTTGTGGGCAAGCGGAGTCTGGATGGTAAAAATGCCAAAATTATCTTGGGTCGAGGTGCTTAGCACTGCAGTTAGTCTATGCCCCCCTTCAATATCAATTTTATTTTGCGTCCTCGTATGTTTTTTGTAGCGCATCAAATAGATATAGCAACTACCAAGATTAAATTAATTGCAAGTTAACATTTGTAAATGGTTTGCTTTTTGGCTGGCATTTAATTTAGACTAATGTTCGTCTAGATCAGGGGTAGGCAACCTTCTGCACTTCGGATATTGTGCCCTGATGCTTTACCAGCATTATAGCTGCAAAAGCATTATAAGACATGTAGTCCACAACATCTTGAGTGACGAGGGTTGCCTACCCCTAGTCTAGACGACACTATGAATATTATCATTGTGTGTATGTGTCAGGCAGGGGTGGCATGTTTTACCACCCACATATCTAAACGTTGTGTCATGGCTTTTTCTTGTGCCGCATGTTTTTATACTCCGAAATGTGATTTGTACAAAATGAAACTTTTTTTTTTTTTTTCTACAACATATATTGCTATAACATGGCGTATGTATTTATTTTGCATCTGTAAAAGTTTAATTCTAATTATGCTAATGTTAATATTTGTCGTTCTCTTGTAGATCATAATCAAAACTCAGTCACTCAGACTCATCGGAAAAATATAATAAAACTGGTTTGTCAACAAAATAACCTCACCTTTAACTCATCATACATAATTTCATCCTTTGTTTCCAAGCAGTTGTATGTGGAGCACAGTTATAAGTTCATCTATTGTGAAGTACCTAAAGTGGGTTGCACTAATTGGAAGAGAATAATTCTTCTCTTAAACAAGACTTTTGATGTTTCACCTGAGGATCTCAAGCACTTTGATGTTCACAACCATTCTTCGTTGGTCCGACTTAGTACCTATAACTATTCTCAACAAATGGAGATGCTTCAGAATTACACAAAGGTGATGTTTGTTCGAGACCCTTTGCACAGGTTGGTTTCAGCCTACAGAGACAAGTTTCTCCACGAAGAAGATACATACTACAGTAAAACCTTTGCAGATCAAATCAAGGCAAAAATGAGAAAAAATAAAAATTCCTCACAAAAGGTCACTTTTGAAGAATTTGCTCGCTTTGTCATTCAGGAAAAGGCACGGTACAGAGATACCCATTGGAAACCAATGCATGCACTCTGTGACCCTTGTAATATTCAATATGATATTGTGGGCAAGTTTGAAACCATGAAAGAGGATTCAGATTTTGTTCTAAAGACTATAAAAGCCCCAAAGCACTTGCAATACCCCAATATTAAACATTATCCAAATGAGTCCCGGACCAATGAAGAGATAAGCATAAAGTATTTCAATAGCTTACCCCCAAAGGTCCTCGAAGATCTCATAAATGTTTACAGAGAGGACTTCTCTCTGTTCCAATACCTTCCTGTAAACCATACAAAAAACACTAAAAATACCAGAGAAATCAGCAAATCTGCCCTTTCTTTCACCAGTCTTTCTTCCTCTTCATTTTTAAAGTGAAAGCACGAGAGCATCAACTTCAAAGCTCGTCTTCACATTGAGTGAGAGCAAAACCTGCAAGATACCAGTTCCTGTTGAGTTAAAACAGATTTTGATTATTAATGATATTAGATATGCAGTACAGTAGCGATAAATTGTTAATGCTGAGTTTACAGTGCCTTAAAGGGACATGCATCCCTTTGAGAAAACTGTCTTATTTAAACGCTTCAGCTTTGAATGAGACAGTTTCCTTACTGCGCAGGATGAAAAAAGCAGGTAGATACAATTTCTTTTTTTCATATTTACCTACTTCTTTCTTATGCTTTCCACACCCACTCCAGGAGGGACACTGATCGAACCAATCAGTGCCCTATCCCCAGGAATGCTGGAAAGTGCATAACTGACGGATTTTTAGCTGGAAGAGCTCTTCTTTTTGCAGCATCCTGATATGGGGAGAAGAGAGAGAGTCTAATCTGTATGAAGATGCAGGGCAGCCTATGGTGTTGGGGTTCTATCTCCTGCTGCTGCACAATGATTCCCTGTAACTGTCATTAGTTGACTGGTCTGAAACTGAGATGGGTAAGTAAATGAGAGGGGAGAGAAGGCTGAAGAAACTACTTTAGTTGATAGGTGTGCCCAGTGGTGCAGTCTGACAAAGTTGATAGTAACTTTATAAATGTGTATTACATACTTTTCAAAGTGTTTTTCTTGTTTTGTTTTGTATATTTGTTTAAAAGTGTTTGCTGGTTTAAAAAACAGTTGTCAAGTCCCTTTCACGTGTTCAATGATGTTAAAAATAATGACACAAAAAGCATCCACAGAATCTTGATTCTGACTATATGTTAAGCAAACTTAAAGGTTAAATCCAATTTCAGCAATTAAAATTTTATTTCCGGTGTCAAGTGTCACCATAAAATCAAAGTATTTAAACTTTAGGATGGATAGGTTGGATGTTTGTTTCTGTTTTTTTTTTTTTTTTGTGTTTTTTGTTTTACTTCTTCAATGTAATTGATGTGCTTACTACTCTTGTAGGAACATAAAAACAAAACAATAGATGTAGCACCTTTTGGCTTCCAATATCATTTCTATGCGGATGACATGCAAATCTACCTGTCCTCTCCTGATCTCTCCCCGTCCCTCTTGACTAGTGTCTCTGACTGCCTCTCTGCTGTTTCTAACTGGATGGCTGCCCACTTCCTTAAACTCAATTTGACCACAACTGAAATTCTGATCTTTCCTCCCTCAAGTGTTGTTACTCCTGTGTCTGTCTCCCTCCAAGTCTATGGTGCTGCCATCAGCTCCAATACGCAGGCTCGCTGCCTAGGTGTTCTCTTTGAGTCCGACCTCTCCTTCATGCCTCATGTTCAGTCTATCACCAAATCCTATCATTTCCACCTCAAAAACATTGCGCGCATCCGACCCTACTTAACGCCAGGTGCGACTAAGGTGCTGGTCCATTCCACTGTCCTTTCTCGCCTTGACTATTGTAATCCACTTCTCAGTGGTCTTACATGCTCCCAACTTGCGCCTTACACTCCATAGTGAATGCGGCGGCGAGGCTCATCTTCCTGTCTGCCAGCATTTCCACACCTCACCCTTCTGTCAGTCCCTACATTAGCTTCCTGTAAGATATAGGGCTCAATTTAAAATTCTGGTTCTTGCTTTCAATTCTCTACATGCTCCCACCTATCTATCCTCACTAATAAACATGTCCTGTCTAGGCCCTTACGATCTGCTGAAGACTTATCTATCTTCTGTCCATACTCCCACCTCTGATGCTCGCCTTCAAGACTTCTTGAGGGCTGCACCATTCCTGTGGAACTCGCTTCCCTCCTCCATTAGATGCTCACCCAGTCTCCACTCCTTCAAAAAAATCATTAAAAACCCACTTCTTCATAAAAGCGTATCAATTAAACTGTTCATAGCTCCTGACTGATTCCTCTTCTGCAACTGTCACTAGTCTAATACTACCCTTACCTTTTGTGTCACTTTACCCCACTCCCTCTAGAATGTAAGCTCATTGAGCAGGGCCCTCAACCCCTCTGTTCCTGTGTGTCCAACTTGTCTGACTACAACTACATGTCTACTACTGTAAAGTGCTGCGGAATTTGTTGGCGCTATATAAATAATAATAATAATAATAATACCAGCGTGTTGGTGAAATGTTTCTAGGCAGGAAGTAGTTGATTAGTTGAATTGGCAAATTAATATATCATCACAAATGACATATTGATTGATTAAAGGGAAGGTCAAGGTTACTTTTTACATTTTTAATGCAGTTGGGAAAAATACATATTTTTTAGGTTTCTAAATTTTTCTTTCAAAATTACTTTTTATTTTTACTGTAGATCAAGCTTTTTGCAGTCGTCACCACCTTTTTGCCCAACACTTACATCCCAGTATCCAATGAAATTCTCCTCATATAGAATAAGTGTTCACACAGGATGCCTAATATTGTATGAACACATACTCAAAAGAGTTTTAGTGAACATGCTCCTAACAAATTTTGAATCTATACATAAAGACAGATATTATAAAAAAAAAAAAAAAAACTTTCTTTCTGAGACTTGTTTGCAAACTTGAATGCTTCAGTCTGCATTTTGAAAACTGGTCTTGCTGGGTGGCCACAGCTACAGCCCCTGTATGTGAATTCTCTTTGCAGGAGAATTTGGACCTCCATAAGCAAAGCCATGAAGGACTGTGCTCATTGGCTTAGAGCTTCACCATTGAGAGAGGTTCTCTATCAGCTGTGCTTAGAATAAATACAGCCATCTTGCTTCTCGTTCAGGAGAGACGTCCGAATGCAGCGCGTCTGAGGATCTAGATACATTGTCAAACCGTGCTAAAACTGTTTGACAAATTACCCTGAGACAGTACCCCATCAAACATCTTTGGGATGACCTGGAATGGAGATTGCAAGCCAGGCCTTCTCATCCAACAACAGTGCCTGTCCTTACAAATGCTCTACTGGATGAATGGGTGACAAGTCCCACTGAAACTCTCCACAATCTTGTGGAAATCCTTCCCAGAAGAGTGGAAGAATTGTTATAGCTGCAAAAGGGGCAACAAGTACATATAATTACTGTCTATGTATTTAGCATCAAATGAGAGAGAGAGAGAGAGAGAGTGTGTGTGTGTGTGTGTGTGTGTGTGTGTATGTGTTTTTATATAGATGTGTGTGTGTGTTCCATCCTATATGTACTCAAGCTTTTTTTGGAATGTCAGCTTGTTTTCTGCATCATCACCTCTTGCTGACAATCTTCATTCTGCTATTTATTTATTTATTATTTCTGTTTCAATCCTTTTAACCATCTGCATTCCTAGCTGCTAACCTCTGCTTACAGAATGGGGTATTGGTTATTTTAAAATGGACATTTTACTACCCAAGTTAAAAATTATAATTATGCATTTTTTTTCATTCGGGAAGAGAGATAAAAAAAGTTTGCAAAAGCTACAGGTCCCTTGTCTGAAGCGATTTCAAGCTTTTGTGGCTGTACAATCGCAGACTTCCCAATGCAGCTCAATAAGACGTCTTTGCAAGATGTTTAGCTCCAATAAGCTAACCAAACCAGGAAGTATCAAGACCAGTTTTCTGATTGACAGGAAGGGGGTTGTAACAAGGTTAATTTATTAGAGTGCCAATTTCTATTGAAATCTGTGCCTTTTGTAAAATGAAAACCTAGGACAGTGTCAGGATTACAAGTTGATCCAGCACAACAAGGACTAAGGATAACGTATAACCGGACCTTAGAATGGCTGGACTTAACGTATCCAAGAATAGTCAAAATACTTGCCGGAGGTCAGGAACACAGAATCAGACACAACGATGAGGGACAGCCAAAAGTCAAGGATACCAGAATTCAGGAAAGTCAAAACGAAGTCAAAGTCAAATACCAGAAAATCAAGATCATGAACACACTCTTGAATTACCATCAAGATGAAACCACCACTGGGCCATGAGCAAAAGGAAAATTGGGTTTAAATACCCCTCCTGTGGATCCGATGGGCCATAACCGGCCTTTGACCTCAAAAGCAATTACCAGGTTTCCATTTCCATGATTGCTGCTCGGCACAACTTTTCCTATTAAGACGGTAATGCTGCTCAGCACAACTTGTCCTGTCAGGACGGTAAATGCCATTAACCACATTTTTATGTGCGGATGAATACGTGACAGACAGACTCTTCACACATAAAGCATTTCAGAAAGTTGAAGTGCCTTGGGAGTTTGGAGTGTCCATTTAAGCTGATGATTCAATTGGAGATTAGCCCCTTGATACATGATGGTATTATTCTATCATGGTTGTCCTTCCCTTAAGGACCCATTACAGAATAGTTGTCCTTCCCTTAAGGACCTGTGACGGAATATTTCCATCATGCAGTCTTTTACCAGCAGGGGCCATTTTCCTGCTTGTAATTTGGAAACCCAGGTATCATTTGTCAGCTGGGGCCAGTGGCCCCAGACTGAGTGATGGTCTGTTTAGAGCACTCAAAGTCAGCATGGTATACAGGCATTTAAGTGGGGGTTTAAATCCCCATTGCTAGAATGCAATGTGAACAGAGTTAAATCATTCAATACCTGGGGCTCCCCTCTGTCAGCTGGGGCTATTTTTTTATAGGCATCGACTGACAGATGAACTGTGGCACTGAACGTCAGCGTGGCATGTAGCACTTTTAAATGGGGATTTAAATCCCCGTTCACAGCAATGTATTGCGAGCAAGGTTAAATCTCTGCTCACATAAAGGAGCCCCGGGTAGCAGGTAGCACATACAGCCTCCTTTATTCCCAATCCACAAACTTACTAATGCCCACAAGGTTTTACAGAACAACCAATAACACACGTACATTACAGAAAACACTCCCAGCAATTATACACATAATCCTCCCCTCTGCCTTTGATATAATTATGGCACACAATGCTTAACATAATTAACACAAGCAGGAAAAATACAGTTTTTATACATGTACTATAACTTTAAAAATATACATCCAATCTTCATAAAAATTACATATTATTAATCAGCATACTTGAAATATAAACATACTCAAAATCATGCAAATCCTTCCATTAGTTCAAAAGTTAGTTAGAAGTCCTCTGTGACCAACCGCAGGCACATTTTCCTGCCCAAAACAGTTCCATAGATTTGGGCTGTGCGGTCGGTCAATTTCACACTGAAAAAATGACTAAGTCCCATTCGAACGTGCGTTCGAATCTTCGAACGTGACTTCGTCTCTGCAGCTGAAAACGGAGTGTAGGAGAAGGTAAGGGTCAGTGGTGTTCGTTGAAATGTGTAGCCGATTTCAGTTCCATGGATTTGGCTACACATACCGCTGACCTCATTCGAATGAACAAAGATGGCCGCCGCCACGTGTTCGTTTGTCGAATGGCGGCTACTTCGGCACTTCGGCTGCATCCGAAGTGCAAATTTAAAGCTGCAGAACTGCTCCAATACAATTTAAAGGGGCAGCAAGAGTCTTTTTAAAATCCAATCTGCTAAAATAGTCTTTAACAGGCAATATCTTCCAGGGGCCATAGTCTTAAAGGGACATTGTTCACCAAAGTCACAATGTGCCTGCAGATGGTTCTTAAAGGGCCAGCAGCAGCATAATAAAATACAATATGCCCAAATACTGTATTTAAAGGGCCAAATCTCCCAGGGGCCATAGTCAGCAGGCAGGAGGCGGGTAAACAGGCTTCTCCAATGCAGAGCGAAGGCATGGGTGACAATAGGAGACTAGGCCCAGGAAAGTACATAGCTGGGCTAGGCAGCGTGGAGGGGGAATCTTTTTTTTTTTTTTTTTAATTCTTTATTTTTGCAACGGTATGGAGTAGACAATGCAAAGGGTTTGGCTCGTACAAGAGCGTTTCAATAGTACATACACATGCCAGGTACATATGAAGAGTTTTAACATCTCTACTTTCATCCGTTGTTGTTGTTGTTGGTATTATTGTTTCAACAAGAACAGTGTGTACAGAAAAACAAAATAACTGAACTGTGGGCCGGGATACCGGTCATCTCGGTCCAAACGGTCGTAGTCCGGGTGGGGGGAGAGAAGTTGAGGTAGAGTGGGGGGGGCAAGGGGTGGGGGGGGGTTACTGCAGTCCATCGTTCGCGTTTGCGACTCCTTTCTGCTACATGGTCTTTATTGGTCTTACTGGTCATTATAGGTCTCCCACGGTTCCCACGTCTTAGTAAAAGCTTTGGTTGTGCCCCTAATTTGGGCCGTGAGTTTGTCCATTAAGTGGCATTCTTTGATTTTGTTAATCACTATTGCTACTGAGGGGGTGTCCTGCTGTAGCCAGATCTGGGCTATCGCTCTTCTGGCCGCTAAGGTTATTTTGTTAAACAGATGCTGGTTTGGTTTAGACCAATTCTCCTGAGGTCTGGCCAGTAGGAACGTCCATGGGTTCAGTGTCACTGGCCTATCAAATATTTGGGTCATGAGGGTTTGAATGGCCGTCCAGTAAATTTTAATCTTAGGGCAGTGCCACCACATATGGGTATATGTCCCTCTCTCCCCACAATTGCGCCAACAGAGGTCTGTGGGTGTTTTTTTCATGTGGTATAGCTGAACAGGGGTGGTATACCACCTGAACATCGTTTTGTAGGCCTGCTCTTGCATCGTGACGCAAATAGAGGTTTTAGCAGTGGCCTGCCATATGTCCTGCCAGTCTATCCCCTCTGTTTCCCCAAGGTCGGTTTCCCACTTGTCTGTGTAGTGGAGGGCGCCCCAGTCCCGTGTAGTGGAGCAGAGATGGGAGTACAAGAGGGAGATCAATCCCTTTTGGTAGCGTTCGGCCAGGCATATGTTTTCAAAGAATGTTGGTTTAGCTAGTGCAGCTCTTTTAACAGATTCTTGGGTAGCATAGTGTCTTATCTGGAGGTACCTAAAGAAGTCTGCGGGGGTTAGGGTTGTTCTGGTTTGTAATTCAGCGAAGGTGATTATGTCGTGGCCTGTGTAGAGTTGATGAATTCTTTGTAGGTCTGCATTTTCCAGGCCTTTGAAATCTTTGGGTCTCATGCCTGGAATAAATGCCCTATTTCTGTATATGGGGGTGAGGGGGGAGGACGATGTTGTTAGTTCGTATTTTGTGGCATATTTGTCCCAGATGT